TGAACGCGCAAGTTGGAAAGTTGTCCACTGATGAAATGCATCCGGGCGGTCAGCACGGTGTAGGCTCCCGTAATGATAACGGTGAGCGGTTACTGCATTTGTGTGAAGATGTTCGCTTATTTCTTGCAAGCACTAATTTCCGACACAGCACCCGCCGGAGGGTGACTTGGCGCCCACCAGCCTCGAACCAGCCTTGGACGCAGATCGATCACATTGCTAGTAGTTACCGCTGGAGAGGCTGCATCCAAAATTGTCGCTCGATTTGGAGCACGTGTCGACACCGATCATGCACTTGTATGTGCTGACATGCGGATGCGTTTTGGCGGACGCCCACGACACTGTGAGTGCATTGACACCAGCCAACTGACAAAGCCAGCTGTTCTGAATGCGTATCGAAGTACGCTGACATGCGAGTTGAGTAATCGCTCACTGGAGACAATTGATGGTCACTGGTCAAATGTTCGCCAGACCTTACTAGCAGCGGGCAAATCCTCATGTGGTATGTCTAAAAGCCAATATGGACACTGGGTGTCTTCTCGGTCTCTGGAACTTCTCGACGCTCGCCGGCATATTCCGGCTGGAAGCGAGCACAATGAAAGTCGCAAAGAGCTCCGGGCAAAACGCCGCGCTAGCCTGAAGAGAGACCGCGAATCTTGGTGGTCTCATCGTGCGTCAGAGATGGAAGTGGCCGCAACCCTTGGCAACCATCGCAAGTTATTCCGTTTGATACGGGAAACGGGCAGCAGGAGACCTGGTGTTGGTGAAACAATTTGTGATGAGAGTGGACAGCCTATCCACAACCTGTCAAAACGTTTGGAGCGTTGGGCTGAGCATTTTGAAAAGCAATTTAATTGGCTAGAATTGTTCGATTCTTCGCCGGCGAGTGATCGCCCTGCTCCGTGGGCTGCCCCTTTGGATCCACCGTCTCGCTAAGAAGTCAAACGTGAGATCGGACTGTTGAAGTTGAACAAAGCCGCGGGACCAGATGATCTTCCTACAGCCCTCTTCAAATTCGGGGGACCTGCTCTTGTTGATGCTTTACATGAATTACTAGTGAAACTGTGGGAGCAGGAGACTGTCCCAACCGACTGGAGCCGCTACGTTATTGTTCCCATCTTCAAAGGAGGCTCGCGATCGGAATGCGGAAACCATAGAGGAATCAGTCTGATCTCCATCGCCTCCAAATTACTCGCCTCCATAATTCTTCACAGACTGACTGGCGCTCGTGAAAGCCGGATTCGTGAGGATCAAGCGGGGTTTCGTCGGGGTCGTGGCTGCATCGACCACATCTTCACCTTGCGTCAGTAGTTGGAGCACCACAACAAATATTGGTGGCTCACCCTAATCGTGTTCCTTGACATCAATGGTGCCTTCGATTCGGTTGACCGATGTGCCCATTGGAATTGTTTACTCAAAAAAGGTGTGCCCGAGAAATATATAAATATTATCCAAGCATTATATGCGCGTAGCACGGGCAGAGTGAGGGCTTACGGCAAGCTGTCGCCACCCTTTAATATCTCCAGCGGTGTGAGACAAGGATTCCCGCTGTCACCTTTCCTCGTCAACTTTGATATTGACGAAGTCATGGAGTTTGCATTTACAGGACATGACTTGGAAGGTGTGGAGCTACTCCTAGGAGAACGACTTCTTGACTTGGAGTATGCAGACGACATTGCCCTCATCTGTGACAGCTCCCAGACGTGCCAAGCCGCACTGGACAGATTAGCACTGTCTGTCAGCCGCTTCGGGCTTTGCTTTGCACCATCGAAGTGCAAAGCGTTCCTGCAAGCTTGGTCTGATCCGCCGCCTACGCTACCGTTGATGGGGATCAGCTAGAAGTCGTTCAAAAATTCAATTACCTGGGAAGTTGTATCAACGCCCTTGGGATCGAAGACGAGATCACGAACCGTATAGCAAAAGCTCGAAGTGCTTTTGCTAACCTTCGCCACCTATGGCGGCGGCGCGACATCACTCTCGCCCTGAAGGGTAAAGTGTACAATGCAGCGGTACGTTCGACCTTACTGTACGGATGCGAAACCTGGCCCCTAAGGTCGGCGGACATGAAGAGGCTAGCTACGTTCGACCATCGATGCCTTCTCAGATAGGCTCACATCTGGTGGGAACACCGCGTGAGTAACGAGCGTGTTCGACGCATTGTCTACAGCACAGGAAAACGATCTCAACCGCTCAGCACCGTTATTTCCCGCACCAGGCTCCGATGGCTCGACCACGTGTTTCGCATGCCAGCCCACCAACTCCCTCGACGTGCGTTGTTTGCTCACCGGGGATGTGGGTGGAAGAAGAGGAGAGGTGGCCAAGCGATGACTTGGTCCAGAGGAATGAAGTCCATCACTTCGGAGCTAGCCTCGGTTGGAGCTTCACGGCTTTCTGGTTGGGGTCCAAAAGACGGTGAACATGTTTGGTTGGATACACTTGCTGACATAGCAAGGAGCCGACCTCAGTGGCGTTCCTGCTGTGAGTTTCTTTGTCCCTCCCCATCCATTCTAGCCTCCCCCTCCAGCTACGATCTCATTTCCTAGGGTAAAACATAATTTAAAAAATTTTTCTTTTTGCCTAGTAGCTGGCTGGAAGCTTACCGGAAAGATGCCTATCCATTACTCGTAGGTCAGCTGACATGCAACTGTTATTTTTATTTTCCTTTTCCTTTATATATTTCGGCACAGTGTCTGATGTGTCCCACCTCTAGCTACCGTGTATAATGAATGAATGTATGATTCAAGTTAGGCGGCCTTGGCTCTGGCAATGTGCGCGAGCCCAGCACCAGTTTACTCTGTTGAGGCCGACTCAGTGTGTCTAGATTTTCGAAGATGGATGCAGGTGTGTGGTTGGATTTGTGACGACGATTGGTACAGTGTTAGAATCCTGGAGTCGTGTTACACTCAATTAACAGACATCAATTGCGAGAGTCTCCGGTATGCTTGCACGTCCAGCTTGCTGTCTGATCTGCAATAATTTGCGGACGTTGAATGTTGCAATACAGAAGATGGCAGACTTCAGGGCTAGCATCTCCCGGTGGAGTACTGTGTGCTTGAGTTGACGGATGGTAGGAGAACAACTTCATCTCGTAAGTGGTGTTCACAGTTGAATAATCAAATAACAATCTAGGTGATGGATACAAGGGAAAATCAGGTAGAGTGATACTCTTTGTTTGTGAAGTTGGCGTAGTAGAGGGACAGTGGATCATCATTCGGACGGAAGAGAGTGAATGTTGTTGTGTGGTTCCAAGGTTTATCAGTAGGCCAGATACCACCCGGTTGCCTTGGCCGATGTAGGTGTGTTATCTTAATTGACCATAGCCCCGAGCCTATGGCCAATGGGTCTAACTCATTTTATACGCCTTTCGGATGACGAATAGCCATACTATGGACTCAACACTCCCGAAGTCAAAGGCGCGATCCAATGCTCGGTTGCTTGCTATGTACGTCTCCGAGGAAGACGAGAGCCAGTGACTTTATTTAGTGGTGAGTCACATCTGCCACGTCGCACTGTTGTTTAGAAGACACTTGTGGCTTTTTATGGCGAGAACTCTTGCCAGGCGTAATCCCACCTTCTGGAACCCTGCCGCCGAACTATCGGCTTGAACGGGAAATGCTTGAACCGCTCAACTGACACCACGAGGAAGTTGTTCGACAGGACAACTGACATACTTCTTTATAAACACGCCAGTTCTTGTAAGCAATTTGCGTAAAAGATACAAGTCATCCCCTTCATATAACGCCTCATTTGAATATTTGTCAACATCGTCTACTGAGCAGAAATACAAGTTGAACTACGCTTGTACACAAGCCTACTGCTCCTCAGTCATTCCTTATCTTTCGCAATTTTTGCTAAACGACAACTCGTTCTAGACCTAACCAGTCGGTTTGAAAAATGATGGCGTTTCTGTTCGTCATTTATCAAACCGCTTTTTCGGGCATTGTTTCGTATTTGACTTACCTTCTGCTACATTGCTGAGATCGTGTAATTTGTAGCTGGATACTAACCCACCCGGAGTGCATAAAGCAATTTCTTGATTTGACTTGAAGAAATACAAGACATCAGAAAATCAGCTAACCGTGACTTGCAAGCAACTCAGACACGGAGGATGGAGAATTCTTAAAAATTACCAATGATAAACCAGAGAGTGGGTTTCCAGTTGTTTTTAAAGTGAAATGCAAAAATCATCAACGCGCACATATTTAAACTACTGCCGAAGTGGAAGAGTCAGTATGGGATAGTCAGACGACGATGCCCAGTGTACACAATCGCTCAGTAGAGAGAGCCACGGCGAGTAGATGCCATTGAGCTGAGTAAGTGAGGCGAATTTGAAGGCAAAGCCCATTCGCACAATAAGCAGCCCCAAATTGAGAAACTCTCCAGGCGAAGGTAACGATTGCGGACACTGGAAGAGGAAGGGTGTGGTGGACCAAAGGCACTTATTACTGCGCCGTGCCAGTAGTATAGAGGTGCCAAGAAAATGCAGCGAAAGGCGACGTGCGAACAGCGGACCATGTGAACGCCCCAACAGAGAAGGAACACTTGGGAGCTACAGAGGTATGTTTGCTAGGAATTAGCACAGGAGTAGCTCCTGCCACACAGCCTCCAGGAGAACGTGCATAGATGAGTGGAACTTTTGTTGGTCAGAGCCGATGCATATAATCCATGCTGTTTGCCACAGGGGTCCACACCGTTAGTTCCTGCAGTGTGTCCTGTGTGAACTGTACCTACCATTGTTCCATGACTGAATGGGCTTTAATTGTTCCTCTTTTTCATTTCTCTTTCCTTTCACCGCTGTCGTTAATTTACTCTTGTAGACTCGAGTGACTGCGAAGTGATTCACCTGCATTTATTCACTTGGATCACAGTTGATTAACTCATTGAACTGCGATGCGAATGCTTTTACTTCTGATGCAACGTCCGACATCCATTTCATCTGTCTAGGACGGTATTCCATAGAACTAGTTTTGTTTTCGCTTCTGTCGTGAACCACTTCTTTTTTAGCCGAAATTCCCCATCACCCTTATCACAAGATAACTACTCATTTTTGCGTCGGCGATACCTGTTATCATGGTCAAAAAAGCGTTATACAAAGCCACCTGTCTGTCGGAACTCAGCAAATTGGTTCCTCCTCCTGAGAACCTCGGATCCATAGAACTGGCTCAGATTCGCATGGCAAAATGTTTTAGACGTGCTTTAGAGCTTAAGGATAATGACGAAGAAGTGGCTTACTTACTACTAAGAAGGTATTTTGATTTTTACGAGCTTATGAAGCATCGCTTAGTTGCCACCCATTCAGTGAGTTACCTATTTTACGTTTACTGTTTGTAAGCTCGGAGTGTTCCCTCTCTCCCTGAAAAAGCAAAGCGCTGTCGCCATGGATTATCTTGAAAAGTTACACGCTAGTCTAAAAATCCGTTATGACGAATTAAACGTACAAGAAAACGAACGACTCCGCTTACCTTCTCCCCCTCGCGAGGAGATTGATGAAATACGTGGTAACTCCGGACCACTTCTATTCCTAATTTCTTTGAAGTTACTCCATCCGACTCCAAGTCACCCAACAATGAATGGATATCTGTAGAAGAACTGGCATTTCTTCTACGAAACAAACGAAAAGTGCTCATTTGTGATATTCGTCCAACTCTCGAATTCTCTGCTTGTCATTTAAAATGGGACCGCTTGATCCACTTTCCATTTGATGAGCTTTTTCACGATGGGTAGGTGTTAGTCTGGATCATTTAATTTTAGTTCTTAACGGTTACATGCGGTGAACTTCCTATTCTCAGCAATTCTTACCCCGGTGCTTATTCATACTTCACACGTGGCAATATTCTGAATGTTTGGCTGCTGCGGCCTCTAGTTGAACAGGCCTTCATTCGGTTTAATTGTCTTAACTTTTGTCTTCCTGATTTTTACTAAAGGTTTTCGCACCATCTACCTCCGTAAGACACCGAGCGTAATTAGTCGAATTGTCACTTTGGTGATCCAATGAATTTCCTTAAGGATTGATGATTTGCGCCGCCAACTAGATGGTGTTTATCGACCACCACTAGACCGAAGCCACGTTGGTTGATCAATTGTATTAAATTTGGCCCGATATTTTCGTCGCAATGGAAGTGAACCTTAACGTATTACGACCATTTGCCTACCTCATTGACCCATTGAGCTATACAGCAGGATCCTTGGGCCCCCTGAGAGCTACTCCTGCCAGGTTGGTCAATGATTACAGCTCAGACAAGCTCAGTCGTCTGCTCCTCCATTTTGTGAGTTCGAAATGAGATGGCGTGCATTTCTGCAAAACTCAATCATTGCTACCTCCACACTGTCTTGCGGACAAGCTTTTGAGCCAAAAGCTTTAGTTGAGGACCGTAATCATCCTCCTGTCTAGGTCTGGGCGCCCTGGCAGTATCTCAGCCAACATACAGCCAAACTCTAACTATATCCTGCATCGGCCGTCACAAGGATTATCAAGGGTCGCCGTATCTGCCGCATACAGCAGGGCGGATAAGCGAAAATATGCTACTGCTGGCGCCTTCCTCTTTTTTCCACATGTTTCACTCCCATCCCGACTCCCATTACTAACCTTCCTTCTATAATTTCCAGCCTAATTGACATCATCCCTAATGCCACTGGAGTCGAAGCATCTGCAGCTAACCTTCCCACACCACCCACTGGACGCCTATCGGCAACAGTCCCCTTTAAGGCCACGCTGTCCCGTTTCCATGGTAGCATTCAACATTCGCACTCTAAGGCAAATAGGTCATCAGGCTGCACTCTAACGCATTTTGGACACACTGGGTATTGACGTTTGTTGTGTACCCAAGACTAAGCTCAATAACCTTTATGGGGTTGTTAGATTAACTGCTCCCTGCTTGTCCTCTCGCTATTGTTTGCTCGCATCCGGAGGAGCTGATGCAGCAGCCTCCGATCAAGCAGATGTAGGTATGATTGTCAGCTCCAAGACTGAGTCACCGTTGGTTGACTGGATTCCGGTGAACAGCCGTTTATGTGCCGCCCGTTTGACGACATCGACCAAGGTTGACTCACGAAGTAGTCTAAGACGCTGTTGGTTTGTGGTTTCCGCTTATGCTGCCATGGACTTCAGTTCTGCTGCTACCAATGATGCTTATGTTCTTAGGTCCTTCAATAACCACAATGTCAATACACCGAAGGTGGGAAAAACAAGCACTGATGGAAGATAAATCTCCTGGTGGGAAATTCCGGAGAGGTTTAGCGTTGTACAGTAGAAAAGAAAGAGCGCCAATGTCCAGTATAGGATCAGTGACGAGCTGAAATGCAGGAAAATATAGTTGGGGTTAATAAACATAATTGTCAACAAAGGGAGTGAATTCGTTTAGAGGCAGCCCACTTAATAGATACATTTTATCACTTACTAAACATGCTGTTATGGACGTCTTGATTATTCAAGCATGCCGTTATTTTTCTCTCCAACTGTTTTGAGTTTGGCCGAAATTTGTTTTAAGGCAAGCACTCCACACGCACGCAAACCCCGCTTTGACCGTTTCCACTTTTCTCGCTTCTCCCAATGACAATAGCCCAGCCTGATTTTCCGTTTGACTCATACCATTGTGAATTTACTCTCGGTGCTTAGCCGCTGTGATGTTTACTCGAGTGGACTGATTGATTGGTCTATCGATCGTATGCTTTCAATATGCCTGTGAACATAGCTCTATCACTTAGTCCATGTGACTGCTACATGTCAGTACGTTTGTCCTTTAGTCACAGCCTATGACTATCGCAATTTGAGAAAGGATTTATTGTACGACTTTTATCTGGACACTGTAGAGGTTACTGTTTGATGTGTTACTCTAATCCATTGTTAAAATAGCACCGTATATATTGACCCTGGGATTTTACGAGTCGCACACAGCCAAGACCGAAATGTCGATAACATACGCCATTACGCCGTGCTACCAGTTCAGATATTGTAGTACTTGTAGGAGATACGAATGCAAAAGTAGTTCGCCTGGGCTTTTCAGAAGTTCAGCTAGGTGGTAATTATGAACTTCAATCCGAACGGACGGAAAACGGCGAGCGCCCCTTTTTCTTAGTAGCGCTGCCTTTAAACACAGTGGCCGCTGAAGTACCACTTGGCGTCCTCCTGTAGCTGGTCAGCGATGGACCCAAACTGACCACATATCCATAAGTTACAGATGGCGTGGTTCCATTCTGGATTGCCGCTCGTGCCTTAGTACCTTTGTCGACTCTGATCATGCCTTGGTACGCTATCGTTTCTCCATGAACTTTATCGGGAGGCGCACCAAGCGTCTCCTCCGATTGGCATCGGAGAAATTGCCTCAGTCCTCGGTCAAGCAAGCCTATCAAGACGCACTGCGTACCGAACTTTCGCTGTCTTGTCCTAATGACACTGAGCTTCAGTGGAATAGGATCTGGGCCGCCAGGCACGACGCAGGAGCATCTGCTTGTGGCACTATCCATCGTCACTGCACCAGTCACTGGATATCCGAAGGTCGATGAACCAGTTGGAATCTAGAAGACACCTCCCGGCTGGTTCTGAACACAATGTGACCAGACGGGCCATTAGGCGCGAACTAAAGCGGAGTCTACGTGCTGAAAAGGAAGCCTGGTAGACCAGTCGAGCTCAAGAAATGGAGGAGGCAAGAGTGGTAGGCAATTACCGCAAGCTCTTCCAGATAATCCGCACCACTGGTCCCAGAAAACCAGGCATCAGTGAGACAATCAGAGACAGCGCGTGTGCGCTGATACACAATAAGGAGCGTCGTATGGCTCGTTGGGCGAAATACTTTCTAGAACAGTTCAGCTGGCCCCCTGCTCCTGGACCTCTTTTTACTCAGATGATGCACGACGAGCCATGGACGGTTAGTACAGAGCCTCCGTCGGAGGCCGAGGTCCGAAACCCACATCACAGCCCTTAATCGTTTTCGTGCCGCTGCTCCGGATTCCCTCCCCCCTGCACTGTTTAAGGATGGAGGTGCGGTCCTCTGCAAAGCACTGACCTCCCTATACCAACGTTCCTAGAAGGAAGTGAGTGTCCTGGCTAATTGGAGCGAATCTATTATATTGGCAATATACAAGGGCAGTCACACAGACTGTTCTTTCCACAGGGGTATTAGCTTAACGCCAGTTGTGACAAAATTATTTTCCTCGATTATCGTTCGTCGCCTCACTGCGGAACGGTTTCCGCCCAGGACGTGGCTGTATAGACTTTGCGGCAGGTGGTAGAGCAGCGCCCGCATACTGCAGACCGACAATAGCTGTGTTCCTCGATTTCAAGAGTGCGTTCGATTCAGTCGATCGATCGATTCTGTTCGAAATACTTGCGCGGAAAGGTGTTCCCACGAAATATGTGAACATCCTTCGTGCTCTATACTCGAACACTACAGGCCGCGTCTGGGTCTACGGTGTCCTATGGAATAGCTTTCTGGCGACAAGTGGCGTTCTTCAGGGTTGTTCGATTTCCCCATTTTCATTCAGTTTCGTCGTGGACTCTATCATGGAGTGTTAGTTCCCTTGGGGAATCTCACGATGTAGGCGTTGAAGTGATGCCTGGTGAAAGATTAGTTGATCTTGACTTTGCAGACGATATCGTCTTGCTTTTCGACGATGTTGCGGCGGCACAATCGACCCTGAATAGGCTGTCCAGAGTGATCCCATTATTTGGTATGCGCTTCGCACCTTCAAAGTGCAAAGTGTTGCTGCATTACCACCAGCCACTTTATGACCACTTAACCCTTGCTAACGAGGAACTCGATGTGGTTGATCAATTCACTTATCTTGGCAGCTTCATTAGCAACAATGGGCGCATAGTAACTGACGTCAGCTCACGCATTGTAAAGGCCAGAGCTGCCTTCTTGAACCTGCGGCATCTTTGGCGACAGAAGGAGTTCCCTTCCGTTTGTAAGGCCATGTGTACAAGGCCACAGTGAGAGCTGTTCTGCTCTATGGGTGGGACTAGGCCCCTTTGGCCTGAAGATCTGAGGCGTCTTCAAGTCTTTGATCGTTGTTTGCTGATGTCGGATGGCACCAGCGTGTCCGCAACGATGATGTGCGTAGGCGAGTACTAACTAGGGGGTGATAATCATGCTAGCTCCCTAGAACAACAGATAGCACTGAATAAGTTGCGTTGGCTCGGGCACATGCTACGTATGCCTGATCACCGCTTACCTAGGAGGGCCTTGTTCAGTCTACGAGGTGTAGGGTGGCGCGAGGCTCGAGGTGGACAGAAGTTGACTTGGCAGCGGAAAATGAAGTCACTGACGACCAAACTGGGTGCCGTTGGTCCATCTCGCCTTCCGGGTTGGAGTCCACGTGACTGTCCTTGTGCTTGGCTCGACACTTTACAGGACATGGCTCGCAACCGACACCAGTGGTGCGTTTGCTTCCGTCTCTTAGTCGGACTGCCGGTTTAAAGTGTGTTTGGTGCTGAGTTATCTGCGGGGTAATGGCTGATTATGACGCGTGGCAGTGAGAGCCGCAAGGAAGCTGTCTTGCCGATGCCGCCTTGTCTTTGCAGGATAGCCAGCTGTTTGTGACGGTATGTTGTTTAGACAAGGTGTAGGCGCCTTGACCCTGAATGTTTGCTGAGGTCATTAAGATTTTCAGGTAAATCACCCTTCTCTCCCTCTTCTTATTCCTGATTTCATAGGTCACCATGGTTGTATGGCGGCGAAGCATCAGTTCAAATGGCTGATGTACTGCTGTTGTTGATGATGAT